AGTTTATTCCATGTTTTATTTTTCAAACAAAACCTAGCATTAAATAAAAGTAACTGACACATCTATATGCATTTTATATATTTTCAAAATGAAGTGCTTTCTCTAACCATATACATCCAGGGAATTTCTTCTGGCTACATCTAGAATACCGGAGAGTCTCATAATTTGAGGTAGAACCCATATCTTCATTTTTTCCTAAAGTGTTTTCAACTGAGAATATGTAAAAAACTGCTAATTTTCAAGAACTTTTTGAGAAGGCATGGGTACAAAAGGACATTAGTCTTTTCCCTATAAATATGTTAGGGTTGGGTATTTGACCGGTTAAATAAATTTCAATCAATTGACCAATCAAATATTAGTAAAAAATTGTAAAAAATTGCCAATAGACCCAAATAATACACAGAAAAGACACATTTGTTCATTAAGAAATGTGTCAAAAAATTAAAAATCATATTTCTGACAAGAAAACTACAAAAAATGTAGTTTTTTTGGTAAAATTGCTATACTCTTTGACCGGTCAAAAAATATACAATCAATTGACAATATTTGACTGGTCAGTTGACCAGCTTGCCAACCCTAAAACATATTCCCAGGTTCATTGTTTCTTGTCTATGGTAAAAAGACTGATAAAAGCAACAGTTGTCCAATTCTAGCACGTGAGACATACAAACACATGCATGTGCACATGCTCTCTCTCTCTCTCACACACACACACACACACACACACACACACACACACCAGTTATCACTCTCCGGCCTATGTATTACAGATACCAGACCCCTCTGATTGTGCTACAGTATTTAAATGTTAAATGTGAATTTGTTTTAAATTAGTTAGCTCACTTTAGCCACAGTAAGAAAACTTGTACAAAAAATGTGATGTGTACAATATCACATCACAAGTTAAAAGCTCAGGGATATACATGACACTATAGAAAAAAATGCACATGTACTTTCTTTTAGTAAATTTATACCTCAGTTAAAAGATGCTTATTGGTTTTCATTTTCTTCAAGTTAAATTTTCATTTTTGGTGTCCAAGCGCTCTATTTCAGGAGGCTGGAATCCCTGCCTGGCTAAAATATGGTGGGCCTATGTCGCTATCAATTTGGCCTAGAATCACTGTAGTCCAAACCACTCAGATGGAATTCTCTCTCCTGCCACGACTTGATGTTATCACAATTTTTGGGGAGCTGGAGGAAGTGGACTAATGGTAAACCTATAACTGTAGGCTGATCTTCTTATGGGGCTCCAACCTCCCCTTTACCCTACCCTAACCACATCAGATGTACTTCAGCAGCAATGTTGCCTCTCTTCAATTTCTACAGACGCCACACAGCTCTTAGTTTGTGTGCAGGCTGATTATGAAGGGACAACTGCACGCAAACCTTCAATAATGGCTGATCCTCGGGGTTAAACTTAATCCCAGATTAAAAAAAAAATATGGCAGACTAACAAAACACAGTCCACGGCCTCCACTGTGAGGACAATGCTCCTGTCCCTCTTGTACTCTTCAGTTCTTTTCCTCTTTGACACAGTTTAGTAGGGGCTATAACTGAGTCCTTGATACAGTCAAAAGAGGAAAATCCCCTCATTCAAAATGGGTATCATAAATACTTAACTAATCCAAGGCAGAAAAAAAGGAAGTATAAGCCCAAAGGAAAAAAAAAACAACTTATACAGTCATCTGGATTCCTCACTTTCTGGTTGGATGTAAGGCTGCTGCTACTAATCCCCACAGCCCATTTGCCATGTGTCATCACCTGGAAACTCCTGCTTCTCCTCAACCTTCTCTAGGGGTCAGCCTTCCACTTTTCAAAAGATCCCACCAGACTCTTCAGTGGTCCTCTGGCCACTCTCAACTTGCAGCTCTAGCCTGCTGAAAGACTTTCTCAAAGTGAGAGCACACTGTGCTTGGACGGCTCCCCTCCCCCGCACTGCCCTGCCCCTTACTGGGGCCCTAAATAGCCCTACTAGATGTCTCTCCTCCAATCCAGTGGAAGAAGCTGCTTTTAAAATGCTATGCCTTGTGCATGGCATGGCACGGCATGTCAGCTCCAGAATCCAGTGAGTGCAGGGTACTGCATAGCTGTTCCCGGCGTCTCTTCCTTGTTCCCCACAGTTCTCTCACATTTGGTTTTCAAAAGATTGGGAAACTAGAGAGCTGGCTTGAAAAAGGAAAAAAAAAAGCTCTTTCTCTTCCTTAAACTTTCACTAAGGCCAAACTTCAACAGAAAATTTTCTCATTTACATTTCTTATTTCTCCTTTTATATTTCAGCACATTTGTTCTGTAGGACAAAATAAAAACATGCTAAAATACTACAGGAAATAAAGTTATTTTGAATTTTCATGACCCATTTTTCAGGCTTGATAGTTTGAACAAACACCCAAAATTGACTTGCTTATCCAAAGCAAACATGAACTCTAAAACTGATTTATTCATTCCTGTATATAAGGAGGCAGAAACATCCTAGCACTGCTTGTATATATTACATCGCTTGCAAACTACATAGAGTCTTCATTCATGAGTAATGCAAAGAAAATGGTCAGATTGATTCTCC